ACAAGCTATTTTATGATCTGCAGTACAGGTCAACTTATGACCACAATGGAGCCCCAAATTTCTGCTGTTAAGCGAGACATTTGTTAATGAATAGAATTCTTTATTGGCCAAGTGTGATTGGACACACAAGGAATTTGTCTTGGTGCAAATACTCTCAGTATATATAAAAGAAAAGATACATTCATCAAGAGTCAAGAATCATAAGGTACAACACTTAATGATAGTCATAGGGTACAATAAGCAATGAAGTCATACTAGGGAACAGTCAATATAAATGGTAAGGATACAAGCAACAAAGTTACAGTGATAGAGTCACAAGTGGGAGGGGATGGGTGATAAGGAGTGATGAAAAGATTAATAGTAATAGTGCAGACTTTGCAAATAGTTGGACAGTGTTGAGGGAATTATTTGTTTAGCAGAGTGATGGCTTTCGGGGAAAAACTCCTTGTGTCTAGTTGTTCTGGTGTGCAATGCTCTATAGCACCGTTTTGAGGGAAGGAGTTGAAACAGTTTATGTCTGGGATATGAGGGGTCTGTAAATAGTGACTTAAGTGAGTTTCGCCCCACTTTACAACCTTTCTTGCCGCAGCTGCTAAATGAATCACTGCAGTTGTTAAGTTAGTAACATGTTTGTTAAGTGAATCTGGCTTCCCCATTGACTTTGCTTGTCAGAAGGTCGCAAAAGGTGATCACGTGACTCAGGGACACTGCAACCATCGGAAATGTGAACCAGTTGCTAAACATCCATAATTTTGATCATGTGATCATGGGGATCCTGCAGTGGTAACTGAAAAATGGTCATAAGTCACTTTTCTCAGTGCCGTTGTAATTTTCAACAGTCACGAAATGAACGGTTGTGAGTCATGGACTACCAACATGAGAAGTAGAAGGGAATTAGCTCTTAGCAAGCTGAAATGGATGAAATGGAATTCATGGAGTGGGATTTGGTGAAATATTAACTGATAGAAGAGATGTCCATTCAGCTCTTTTATCCAGTGGAAATTACTAAATCTGTTTGGTCAGTAAGAGTCAACACTGGTTTGATCACACATAATCAATAAACTAAGTGTTGTGAAATTAAAGCTAACAAGAGATGTTAATTTCTTACAGGACTATTTCAAAGGTTACCTTGAAAAACAAGTATTTGTAATATTAGGAAAAGTTTAAGGAGATCATAGATAAAATACCCTATTTTGGTTCACCCCAAATCACCCACTCTGTCATTTAATACTGCATTTTCCCCTTCTAACCTTTGTTCCCAGTTTATTTTACATACACACATGTACATATGTATGTATGTGTCAGCATTTGCCTGAGCGTAGCCGACTCTGAGATACGTAATTCACTGTCACCCTTGATCCTGCTTTCCCCCCCCCCCCTCTGGTTGTATCATCCAATGAAACACATCCATAATCAAGAGTCATCAATCATGCTCTCCAATTAGATTTTTGCATGGCAGAAGCTTCAGTCATCTAATCCAGGGGTCGCCAACCTTTTGGACCTCAGGGACCACCAAACTCATTATTTTAAATCCTGCGGACCACTAATATGAATTTTGACTGATGGTGGCTTGCTGACGTTTTCCCTGGGAAAAGCCCCAAAAAAGTCTGCAGGAAAATTCCCCACCCCGTTTTCCTACCAATCGATCGTTCTTTATTTGAGATCGTAGAATACCATCTCCAGATTCATTCTCAGGGGGGGAGAGAGAGACTTTTGGCTTCATGCAAGGAAAGCAGCAGAAGCAGCAGAAGTCTTTCTTTCTCTCCCCCAAACTCCGCCAGAAATGAGTCTTTGTGAAACTTGTTGTGCCGGCGCAGCTTTCTTGAAACAGGATGCCTTGCAGGATCCCAAAGACTCATTTCATTTGAGGGAGAGAAAGAAAGACTTTTGCTGCTTTCTTTGCGTGCAGCCAAAAGCAGAAGAAAGAAGCAGTCCAGTGGCCAGGCAAGTTCCCCCCTCTGCCCTTTCCCCCCTCCCCTCACTACTTCATGTTGTTCGCAATGCAAGCAACGCAAGCCTCGTGTTCACGTGGGCCATGTGGGTGGGGCAGCCTTGTGTTCCCATGCAGCCTGGATTAATTGCTTTGGGGGTGACATTTCTCTGCAGACCACCAAAATTTTCTCATGGACCACCAGTGGTCCCTGGCCCACTGGTTGGCGACCACTGATCTAATCAGTCTCTGAAGAAAATATGAATGGAATGTACTTTCAATTCCACACTGCTGCCTGCTGTTTGAAACTCCCCCCCTTCTTTTTGTTGACAACTATAAAATGTGTATACAAAATGTTTTATGAGTTGACAGTATGTATGTATGTATGTATGTATGTATGTATGTATGTACGTACGTACGTACGTACGTATTAACCTGTGACTTAATCTGTAGTTTCATCAGTGAAAAGCAAGAGAAAATGCCACAGCATTGTTATAGACATTATGGGAGATAAGAAGGATGACTGGCATTATTTCAAATGCCAGCCTCAAGAGAAAATTAAGACAAAGATAACTAGAAATCAAGTCCTACCAGGAAAAAGTTGAGGAAATTAGGTAAATTTAGCTTTGAAAAAAAAAATCACCATGTGGAAAGATTAAGACTCAAGGAGATCAACTGCGTGAGCTCTGAACTGCTGCTTCTCACTCTCAAAACTGAGGAAAGAATGACCAAAAGTCCATTGACTCCAAAGGGTGAGAGGAAAAGTATTAGGAGTTCAAGCCCAGGCTATCATGCATATTGGGTTTAATTTTTGTGTTCTCAAACAGGCAAATCTATGTACAAGCAGGATTTCTTTTGTGACTAACTATGCAGCTTCCTTTATTATGTCAAGTCTCTGAAGTTTCTGCTTTTGGGTGCAGGATGCAATTTTATGAATGCAGAGTTGACTTATCATTGTACTGGTATGAAGTCTGACATGGGCTCTGTTTAAGCAGCATCAACCATTTCAGACCTCGAATCCTTGCTAGTAACATTTTATGATATTTGGAAAGCTGCTTTCTCACATCTTGACAACTAATGTATTTAATCAAATAGTAACTTGTTTCGTGTGTTGTATTAATAAAAAGTGGTTTGGGGGGGGGCGATGATATTACATATGATGTAGCCCTTGTATTTTGCAAAGCATGGTTTATGGTTTTGCATCACAAATAAACTCAGCGAATTCTACCTCAGGAAAAAATAATGGTTAAACAGAACCTGGCTTAATGCAATGTCTGTAGCAGGTAATTATTAAGTTCTGCTGGTCTTTGAAATAATGTTAAGGAAAAAAATGTTATTTGCAGTTTCACTCTGGGTTCACCAGGTGGCACTGAAAGGTGTGATTGTTAATTTTACTAGAGTACAGTACATGGTAGTAAATGATATATAGTAGCAGCTGGTTTGTCAGTTTGATTTTCTTCTTCAGTTTGACTTTACTCTAAAACAAACCTGGGCATTTTACAGCCCCTTGTCTACATCCAGCTCTTTGTCTATCCATGTCCGGACTGTTGGAGAGGAATCAGAAATTATTAATCAAATGTAAATAAGATATAACACTTATTCTTACCAGTAGCAGCTAATCAAAACCATATAGTTTACTACTTTTTATAAAGCAATAAAATTAATGTTGAGCAGAATTAAGTTCAGCCTATATGTTTGGCCTTCCACAACAATCCCTGTTTCTCATGTAACCTCTTGGAAAAATCAATTGCCCATCCCTGCTCTAAACGAAATATTTCCACCTAATAATTTAACCTAAGAAATACTGTTGCACAATATTTTGTACAAGAAAAATATTGATGGTTGGAATGTGAAACCAGGCCTATGAGGCATAAACTCAAATCCCAGTTATTGTTAAAACTCATTTGGGTCTGGCACTTACCTCATAGGATATTATGTAACTTTGTAAAATCAACAGACATATATGATAAATAATAAATAGTGACAGTAATATTTTGTTGATATTTCTTGTGAAACTATCTCAGATCCAGTTCATACATTGTTCATTACTGGTCATTGGTGCTCTCTGAGCTTGGTTTTTTTCTTGCAAATATTTCTAAGTAACATGTCATCAGTGCTAAGGTAAGCACAGTGGTAAGGAATGGGGTTTATAGTCTAATACAGGGGTCCTCAAATTTGACACCTTTAAGACTTGGGGACTTCAACTCCCAGAATTCCCCAGCCAGCATAGCTGGCTGAAGAATTCTGGAAGTTAAAGTCCACAAGTCTTAAAAGTTGCCAAGTTTGGAGACCTCTGTTCTAATGGTTTGCTCTGTCAGTGTTGGTGGGCATGGCCTTAGAGATGCTTTGGGCTGTTTACTGTTGGCTTGTTTGGCAGTTCCTTGATTGAGGTATTGTTTACTTGATTGTTGGTCTGATGTTAATTTTGGAGTTAATCTATACTCATCTGAGTGCTGATTGCTGGTGGGGAGGTTGTGTTCCCTTTTTGGCTTGTTAATTGTCTCTTTTGCATAGTTAACTACATACTACGTACAGCAAACCCCACTCCTTACTAGCACTGATGGTGCTACCTACTTTGGGTAATGAAACGCCTGCAAGAAAATAACCAAGCTCAGAGAGCACCAAGGACCGCTCATTTCAACCCTGAGCTACAAATATTCTCCTTTATCGACACATTTCTCAGCTGGCCAGTAAGCATATCAGTTTTTAAAACTGCCTTTAATAATTGTTCCTTGTTGGACTTCACCTCATTTTAGGCAACTGCATACCTTCACAACTGGGCTGTTGACTCACACACCATTAATGAGTGACACTTCATGACATTTTATGAGCAAAGAAAAGAAAGTGGTACAATTATCTTTACTTGGCAGTTGATGGATTTCTTCCCCTTTCTTCATTCTGGTCAGCAGCACAGTTTTACATTACATGAACTGGGCACTAAAAACGGGAAAACTAAATGGTGCAAATTTAAATCTTGGGTTTGTCTTTGGAACTAGATCCCACTTCCAATTTTTTAATCTAATCATTAATTGTTAATGTTTACTTTCTCTTTCCTACCTGTTCTTTCTAGCCAAGTAAGGGAGCGACTGAAGAACCAAGTTGCAGAAATGAAAGTAAAAGTTCCTGGTTTCAGGCCAGGCCTTGCTATTCTGCAGGTAAGGGCTACATATGTTGTCAAACTGTAGAGTTAAGCCAAGCATATACAGGTAGTCTTTGACTTATGACCACAATTGGGAGTGGAACTTCTGCCCCTAAGTGAAGTGGTTAAGTGAGTCACACCCAATATTGCAATCTTTATGTTGGAGTTGTTAAGCAGATCACCAGGGCTGTTAAGCAAAGCCCATGGTTGTTATGTGAGTCTGGTTTCCCCCACCCCTTGACTTTATCTGCTTAACAACTGCCAAAATCTGGTAGGAAAGTCACACCTGGCAATCAAGTGAACCTGAGACACTGCACCCATCGTAAATACATGATCCTGTGATGGTGCAACAGTCATAACTGGGAGGACCAGGTATAAGTCACTTTTCTGCATTGTAACTTGGACACTAAATGAATAATTGTAAGTCAAGGACTATCTGTAATAGTTTTGGTATATCGTTGTTTTTATAGCATCTTAGTTAGAGCTGTCCCATTCATATCCATAGCCCTTACAGTCAATAACAACTGAAATGGATCTCTCTCTTTTTTTTGTACTGTGAAGGATCTACATAACAGCAAATTGTTGACAACATAATTTAATATGTCAGTGAACTATGAAAACTTTATAGGGAATAGCAGCTGCATCCAGAGAGAGAATATTTCTGGAAATATGCAAACTCTGGGTTCAAAGGAGAAAAAGGAACTTCAGAGCATGCAGGGATTCTCATGTAGCATCTGTCAGAAAGTCCTTAAACTGATAGGATTACACTGTAGCCACAAAAGCAGCTACATGATTCCAGAAAAGGCTGCATCTATTTTAAAAGTTGCCAGGAGATTCTAAGTGAATGCTCCAGAGTGCCTTTTCCCCCCCTTTGAATTCAATGTTGTGCCATCTGTTGAATTTTAGATGCAGTTTAAAACAGGAGAAAGAATCCCAAAAGCCTTTCATGATGTCAAACATTTTATTTCTGTTTGATTTATCTTGTATTTATGCTACTTGGATGTGTCTGTAAAGTCAGAGTGCTCCATTTAAGGAAGACATTGTATTATACATTACTAGCACACTTGTAAAATTGCATATTAGCTTAAAAGGCAGATTAAATATGAATATATTCATATTTAAGTGAAAGTTTTAAAGTCTGCCAGATTCCAGCTAAGCACACTAAAGTTCTCCCCTGTTGACTGGGATAAATTATGTAAGAAAGAATGAAGCCTGTATCTTTGGAGGCAGATACAAGATCCCAGTTGAGCTAGTGCAGCAGTGAAAATATAATTTGGCTTTGCTCAAAAAGACCCTTAAATATTAAATCTGACTGGGAGAAAACTTTGGGCAATAGGTATAGTGGTTGAGGTGCTGGCATAGAAACCAGGAGACTGAGTTCTGGTCCCACCTTAGGCATGAAGACCACTGGGTGACTTTGGGCCGCTATTTCTCTCAATCTCTCAACCCAACCACCTCACAGTTGTGGGAAAAATAGGAAGGAGTATTAGCTAGGCTCACCACCTTGTTACTTAAAAAGGATTAAAGGTGGAATAAAAATTTAATAAATAGATAAGAATTTTGCTTATGTGAAAACATTACCATTTTTATTAGATTAATTGCACATGTTATTTGTTACATTGTACTGTATGCAAAATTGTTTTCCAGCTACCACTAAAGTAACAGATTAAGATGAAAAGGTATTTCGGAGCAATACAACATATTATTAGTATCATTTTGTTCTGTTTTGGAAATATCCAGCTTCTTGGAAGAATAAACAATTATCTGGGATAAAGAAATATATCTTAGAATTGTGCAAAAGGTTTTGAAGTCATGATCAGAACCCTTCAACTTTAAAACTTCAACAGCATGGATAAAAAGTTGAAAGGCCTATATACAGTGGTCCCCAACCTTTGAGGCTTGGCAGCCCAGCGGAGGGCAGGGGAAGAAAGGCGAACTGACTTGCACAAATTGAGCTGCACATGTGTACTGGCCAGCTAGTCATGCGGCCTTGACTCAGGGATTGGGGAACACTGACCTATAGCAATATCACATAGACTTATATACCACTTCACAGTGCTTTTACAGCCCTCTCTAAGTGGTTTACAGAGTCAGTTTATTGTCCCCAGCAATCTGGGTCCTCATTTTACCCACCTCGGAAGAAATGGAAGGATGAATCAACCTTGAGCCTGGTGAGATTCGAACTGCCAAATTGCAGGCAGCTGGCAGTCAGCAGAAGTAGCCTGCAGTTTGGCACTCTAACCACTGCAGTACCATAGCTCTTAAAATAATCTGATTTATTTCCCCCAAAGGTTGGTGACCGGGATGATTCAAATCTCTACATTAGCATGAAGCTGAAGGCTGCCGCTGAGGTAATTCTGCTTTTCATAGCATTACATTCAATGAAACATTTTGTTCCTATTTCTGAATTTAGCTTCAAGTAGAGAAATTGAGATACATAGTTTGCAATTGTAAAGTGTAATTGTAACCATAACTTTTCTTGTTAGGATCAATGGATAGTCAATTACAAAAGAGCAGTGGACGATCAGTTTTATATATGATTGCTGCTACCTACAATAGAGGAATGCTTGGCGAAGATGACAAGAAGATGGCAACATTGTTTGATTAGAGAAAGATAAACAACTATATTCATTAGTGACTGGAAACCTTTTGGGCTAAAAATAGGAGAAAAATTATGGGTTTGAAGATTAAAAAGGATAGCTTATGGAAAGAAGAAAAATGTGATGTAAATTTAGATACATGGTAAAATATAATTATAACCACTATCAAGGAGATTGGAAACTGTTTCTGTAGTAGTAGAAACTCTGCAGGTTCTTCCCTTCTGGTGGGAAGACTTTGTGACAATTGTCCTCTTCAGCTGTACAAAGTTAGGATAAGTAGTATGTTATGGAGGACTGTTGTGGTAACCAAGGTTAATTTGCCAATTTGCACAAGGGCAATTGCTAAACAAACACTTAAGGAAAGCTATAGTAAAGAAGTACACACACATATACAGATAGATATGTACATACCTATAAATATAAAAACTTGTTTATATTTCTGTTTCAAGACCAGAATTGAACACATGATTAGTTCTTATTTTCCCACATTGTACTGTCATGACAGATGATGAAACTCTTGCTTTGCAGTGTGACAAGAAAGTTGCCTGGTTGCCTAGACAACCTAGGAATACATTTTCCTGCCTTTGCCCAATGAACATTTTCTTTTCGTTTCTTTTACGCATTTTATTGATATTCCAAAGTTTAAAAACATAAAATAAAATTACAGTATATTAATTGTTATCAACATCAAGACATCTTTTACATTTCCTTACATTTTTCAATTTATGATTACTTATTCCATTACCATTGCATCTTACTCTTGTTACAAATCAATATATTTCATCTTACGCTTCAATCTTTTCTATAACATATATACATATTTACATACTTGCTTACTCTTTTCCTAATTGCCATTTTATTTTATTTTTATTTCTAAACCACGCATCCCAGGCATCCCAGGCTCTATAATATATTGAATCTTCTTTGTCTCTTAATTTCAATGTTAGCCTGTCCATCTCTATATAATCTATTATTTTCTTTATAACCATCCCCTCTGATGGTGTCCTTTTCTCCAATGAACATTTTCACCTCTTGCTATATTCCTCTTTTGAACTCTATATGAGAAACGTTATAAAGCTTGCAAAATGAGACTAACCTCCATCTGATCTGTTCATAAACTCTGTTATTTATTTGGCATTTTGCTTTCTCAGATCGGGATCAATGCCAACCACATCAAGCTGCCAGGCACTGCTACAGAAGCTGAGGTAAATCCAGTTCACTTTAAGACATTTATGCATCAGCTGCATATGATTAGATCAGTCTCACCTGATAGTATGTCTTCTGTTGCCCCTTGGAAATCTGTATCCTGAACCTCTATTGAAATGATTGTTTTCTTTCTAATATTAGCTACGTTATCTATAATTTAACATTTTTAATTTGGGATCTTTAAAAAAATTACCAGGCAGAAACAATGGCTAAAAATAGCATGACATGTCAAATCATGATTTTCTACTTATGTACTCTTCAATAAACCATGGTTGGCTATGTGGACACATTGAACTCAGTCATAAACCTTATGTATGCTGCTTCATTTTTAAATGATTCAGTTAATTAAAAATAATAAATGAAAAGCATATAATACCAACCTAAAGAATCTCTAATAGATTCCAGAATTATCATTAGGTTGATGGCTACAAGTCTGGATATTGTTTAGAAGTATACTCCACTTTTTTAGGGAAAGAAAAAAAAAAGCAAAGATAAGCTAAAATGACAGAGTACTTAATAGGCAAGAGCTAGTGGCAAAGAATAATTCATTTATAATCTCATTAATGAATCCTGATCTCCATAAAAACCATATTTCAAGAGATTCCAAATGTGAGCTGGGAAGGTTGGGATTACTACCATAAACTGAAATGTTTACAAACCATAGCTGGGGTGACATAACCTACTTTTGTTTGACTTTGGTTTAGTGCAGGTACATCCAAGCCATGGTCCACAGGCTGCCTGCAACCCTGGACAGCTAGTAGTCCAGCCCTACAAAATCATAAATGTTTAACATTATGTGATTTATATACATTAACTATGGTATATTATCTATTTTATAAGAGACCCAAGATAATTCCTCTTCATCTAATGCAGCCCAGGCAAGCCAAAAGTTTGGACACCCATGGTTTAGCAGGTTGTATGATTAGCCCTAACACTGTATTTGGATACATTCATAATTATGAGGTAATATTGAGAATAATTCCAGTTTGTTAGAACTGGTAAGTATTTCTGTGCCCCCTACATTCCTCATGCTTGATGCCTCCTGGCAGCAGGAGTAGCTGAAGAAATTAGGAAGCGTATTCTGTGGTTTGTCAGCATTGCCTCTGAACTGGCTTGTTTCCCTTCTTTTCACCATTCTTATTAACATGCAGGTGCTCAAATGCATTAACAATTTGAATGAAGATCCTGCCATCCATGGGTTTATAGTGCAATTGCCTCTGGATTCAAACAAGCCCATCAACACAGAAAAAATAACTAATGCTGTGGCACCTGAGAAAGATGTCGATGGGTATGATTGTTATAAAATATGCATGTTAATTTACTTGAGAATAAAACTGTCTTGTTGATTATAGTCCCAAAACATCTGGAGGGCCAATTGGGGAAGGAATACATTAAAGCAGTGTTTTTCCAACTTGGCAACTTCAAGATATGTAGACTTCAACATCAAATGCCAGCTGGGAAATTCTGGGAGTTGAAGTCTGCACATCTTAAAGTTAAGAAGTCTGGAAAACATACTAAAGAAAAGCAAAATAATTTTCTTTGGAAATGGCTGCTTTTAAAAGTGTCCAGTTGCTAGTATATATGTTAGATTTCCACTTTGCCTTTATTCTCACGGGAAGAAAAATTCACTAGTATAAGTAAATATTCAGGCAGAAGATCACCAAAAGTTAAGCTTTAATAACTTCTGTTTGTCATTGCCTTCTTCTTTGGGCTGAGAATGATTGGCCCAATATTACATAGCTGACTTTGTGCCTAAGGTGGAACTTAGAAATCTGTCTCCTAGTTTCTAGCCTGATACCTTAACCACTACAGCAAACTGGCTGTTATTGCAAGGGAGGTAGTTTTAAAAAAAGAACAGCTTATTTTGTTATGAACATGGAGCAAAAAAAGTTGCATTAAAGTAAGTTGAACTATCAGTCTATCTAATTAAGTGATATGAGTATTTAGTATTCCACAAGGTTTTTTGTAGTTCCTCCCTTGCAAAAGTTTAGATGGGGAGATAAAATTTCAAGGACTAATTCAGCTGTTATGCTTTTTACTTTTTAGCCTGAGCAGTGTAAATGCAGGGAAGCTGTCACGTGGGGACCTCAGCAACTGCTTCATTCCTTGCACACCCAAAGGATGCATGGAACTTATCAGGCAAACAGGTGAGCAGGGAAAGGAGAGGTCTTGATTCACAAGATCCAGGGGTACACTTTAGGTACCATGAGCGATTATGGGGAAGCTAGAAAAGGAATGAAAGAAAACATGGAAAGAAACACTTGAGTGGATGTTGATGTTTTATCATAATTGGCAACTTAGCTCAAGTGAAGAGAAATATTCCCTCTGTGAGGAGGATAGGCAGTTCAGAAATGTGAAAATTAAATAAAATGTTGGAAGAAATATGTCAAAGCATTCAAAGATACTCTGCTTTAATTCATATAAATACAACTGGAAAAACTCTATTACTCTTTTCAAGATTCTGAATTTACCCCAGACTAGCATCAAAGAGACCTTAGTGCAGAGGTCTCCAAACTTGGCAACTTGGCAACAGCTGGCTGGATAATTCTGGGAGTTGAAGTCCACAAGTCTTAAAGTTGCCAAGTTTGGGGACCCCTGCCTTAGTGAAATCTCTGTAGTTCTTGTTTCTTTGATCTTGCCCAACTGCATGGAGCTTAACAGATACAACTTAATAAAAGCATGATTTGGGGGCTTTGCAGTTGCTTTTTGTAAGCCAGAGATGAATCATAGACTGAATAGAGCATAGCTTTTATGATGTGAATGCAAATTCTGGGTTCTGCATTTCAGGTGTTCAAGTAGCAGGCAAAAAAGCAGTAGTGATTGGACGCAGTAAGATCGTCGGAGCTCCTATGCATGATCTGCTGCTTTGGAACCATGCAACTGTGACCACTTGCCATTCCAAGACTGCATCGCTGGCTGACGAAGTAAGGCAGGGAAACTGCAGCTATAATGATTCTAGGTTTAGCCTATGCAAAGTGTGTCTTTTGCCAGGGAATGCATCAATCTTCTCTCCCCAACAGATTCCTTTTCCCAGTTGCACAGGATTTCTTAATAGGATAGCTGATCATGGGAAGTAAATGTAATTCCATACTAAAGTACATGTCTCTATATGGAAAATCCCAGGAAAATCTGTCATTTCTTCTTGAAAAGAATACTGGGAAGTAGCAGGCCTCTGTTTGCAATATAGGATTCCTTCTTTAAGTCCATGTTCAAACTAGTACTTTATATTTGGATAGTGATTTTCCAGTTCAACATAGATACAGGAAGAAGAGTCTGCACAAACAAATACAACCATGTTGAGCCACTGTTCATTGGTCTGTGCAGATTCACAAGAAGCCAGTTTTGCATGAACTGCATTTTGCATTAAGCTGTCTTGTCAAAGAAGTATGGAATTTTGGGAGGAAACAGGTACACTGTATGCACAGTTATTAAGGAAGTTGTGTTTTGGAGGATTAATTTTATTATTGAATAACTACAGCGCTCTCAGTCAATCCAAAATATAAATAAACCACAAACCTGAATATTTAAGAAAGTAAAAGTGAGGTTTGGGCTTTCTTAGAATATCTATGTGTGCACAATTATTGGGCAACTATTAGTGTGCAGAATTATTATGCAACTAAATGGAAAACTAAAATTTGCCCATCTAATTATGTATATCTGTTAAAAGTGAGAATAATAAACAACTCAAAATGTACAAATAAACATTTCTGACATTTCAAACAAAAAAAATCTTATGGAAAATTAGTCTGTCAAAAACAATATTCAAGGGTTCTCCCTTGGTATGCTATAATTTTTTTAGACAGGGAGGGAATGCACTTTTATTGAGTTGCATGTGTGTTCTAAAAAGATGAACTCTTGCTGATAGATGAAATATCTGATAATTGCAAAATGTTGGGGAAATTATTTTTGTATTTATGTTTATGTCTGAGAAGGGAGCCACATGTTGCTCAACACAAATATATATGTGTGTGTGTGTATATAGACAGCACACACACATATACATGTATATTCCTATTTTAATTAACAAAAAGGATTTATATTCATATTATAGGACATTGTTAAATAGATAAATCACTTTAAAGAGGGGGAGGCACAGCAGGAAAGAAAGAGAACCAATTTAACGACCAAAGTTTCTTTTTGGAACTAGGTTAATACAAATTGTGCTTGCAGGTCAGTAAAGCAGATATCCTGGTGGTTGCAGCTGGCAAAGCTGAGATGGTAAAAGGTGAATGGATCAAACCAGGTTCAGTAGTGATCGACTGTGGGATCAATCACATTCCAGGTAATGTTGAAAAATGACTTTAAAAAACTGTTAGTAAACATATGTTAATTAGCATAGAAGTGTATGTGGATATAGGTAAGAAAAAATGGTTACATTCATTAGTGGTTCAGTCAGGCAATTAAAGATCTTCATTTGGAAGTAGATCTCGCTGTCTGTGAGGTCTTGAGGCGGGTGCACCATATGGGGAGAGTAGGGATTAGAAAGTGAAGAAGAGGAAATAAAATTCTGCTATAGAAACTTGAAGATAGTGTTGTTTAATATATATAGCCATTTGATCTCTTACAGGTGGAGATTGTTGTATTGGCAAATTTGTCCTAATAAATATCCCTGCAGTATTCAATTTGTTGTCTCCCAATCAAATATAGAAATATTAGGTCAGGCATAGCAATGGTGCCTTCCAGACACTGGAAGTATTCTGAACTCCAGGTGGATCAGATTTTATGTAAGATGTAATCGGAACCATCCAGAAGATACCAGGTTGCCAGACCCTCTATCTCAGTGGCTACATAAAACAGCTTACATACATACGTAATATAATCTCTAAAGGAATTCCAACATCAAAGTAGCAGCAACAATACAAGCAGTTTTGTAGCACTCTGCTTTTAAATAACAGTTGTTATCTAAAAAGATGGATGGATGGATGGACAGACAGACATGGAGGAAATGCAATGCTAGGAATGAATGTATACGTTAATCTTTTCTGAATCATCACAAAATGAAATCCAAGAAAGAACAAACAGCAATTCTTAGTGTCTCTCTCATAGTATTTCTATTTATGTATGATTTTTACACCCTGCCCTTTCTCCAAGGAACTCTGCAACCATATTCACAAATGGTTTGTTGAAAAATTCACTAAGTTTAGACAATGCACTAAGCAAGCCATATATCATGGTTCACAGTAGTTAGCCAAAACCAAACAAGCCATGAATAGCTTTTAGCCAAGGATTTGTTCAGTTGGATAGACAATCTTGTTAGGATTTTGGATGAAATCATTACTTTCTTACTGAGAAATTAATTAATAAACCAGAGATTGGTTGCATAAGGTTCTTCTTTAGTAAAGTGGAGCTTCTCTACCCATCTGCTCCAGTTTAAGAAACTAAGAGGATTAGTCACACCTGTCAAACAGTTGCTCTCCTCCTACTTGCTGCACTTCTAGAAAGGTTGCTTTTATAAGTGATCTATCAGTAATTGCACTTAACTAATCAAAGCATCTAATAAAGATGCTCATTTCCTTCACGTTTCTTAGCAATTGTGGCTCACTTCATCATCTGCCTTTGAGGATAAGAAAAAACCCATAAGATGCAACACTAGCTAGCTGAGTCATTTCTGAAGAAGACAGCCCCAGTTGACTCATTCCCATATGGGGGGAGGTGGGGAAATGTTGAATTTGGGCTTGTGGTAAGTTAAGGCTCATGGGCCACAAATGATGTTGATAATAACCAGCCTGATAAAGAAAACTCTTAGGGGACATCAGAAACCCAGCAAGCCCAAAATATTTTACCCATTTTTTTAGGAGGAGGAGGAGGAGGATGTGAGGTTTTAAGACAGTCTTTTTCAAATTTTAAGATGTGTATCCCAAAGGTGCTTTTTCAAGAGACAACTGGACTTTCTGGTTTTTCTTTGAAGAAGCTACGCTTCTCATCCAAGAATCTTTTTTTAGCTCTGACAGCTGTCTGCAAGGAATATAAATCCTTCCATTCCCCACCATCCTGTCAGAGCTGAAGAAGCTTCTTGATGAGAAGCGAAACATCTTCAGAAGAAAACCCAGAAAGTCCAGTTGCCTCTTGAAAAAGCAGCTTTGGGGTAACCATGACCTGGATGACTGAGAATCTCCATAGACATTTAAGATGTGTAAGATTTCTTTTCTTTAAAGCAGGTGTAGACCGATTTTAAGGCCTTAAAAAAGTACATATTGGTTCCTCAGACCGTTTTCAACCCTGCCCAGGATGAATAGGCTCTACTCACTCAGTGGGGCACAAAACTTTTGCTTAAAGTCTACTTCAGACTTCCCAAAGACAGTTGCTGTATCTTTCAGCTCTCAATGTTCCAGCAATACCTTGGTGCCAAAGGAAAGTGTTTTGGTGGGAGTGATGCTGACAGGCAGAATGGCAACCACACCAGCCATTAGGCTGGTATTTTTCTTTTTTTTAAATAAAAGTTTTATTTAAGTTTTCAAAAAACATACAAATACAAATAAAATATCTTTTTTTTTGAGAACAGCGTGACCCCGGGTTATCACTTCTCCATACAGACATAAACTCAATACATATTTATCTTATACATTCTAATCCATATCTTATAACTATTTTCGCAATTTTTTTCAATAGCTTTTCCCTTTCTTTACTTCCTATAGCCTTATTTTAAATTATCTCATTCCTTTCTTAATTCAATTACATATCTTTTTCTAATTTTTAAAATCTTTCTAATCAATGTTTTTATACTTTCATCTGTCCTGTTTACAATTTCATATTATCTCTTCTCATAAAACAAATTTTCCTCTGTAATTACTAGACTGGAGTGTAACACCTTTGTATCTTTTTTCAAATCTTGTTTAAAAATTTAAGTTACACCTTTACAGTTATAACATTCATTTTTTAACCTCTATTTTATAACACATACCTATTTTCAATTGAATTCTGCTTGGTACATTCCCTTAAAAATACACACTAAATTCTTAAATGAAAAAAGTATATATGTATATATATCTGTGTATATATGTATAACGATAGTAAATGGAATAATTATTCTATTCAAATACAGCTCTGCCATTAATATTAATAACAATCTTTTATATTTATATTTCTTTTACCTAGCAATATCAGTTGTCTTTCACTTTAATCATCTATATTTCATATTTTACTTATTACTGTCTTGAAATAAAAAACAAAACAATAGTTATTAACAGTAGTCAATAAAATTATTATTCTTATTCAAATTCATCTT